CCTTTGGATTTTAGTCAATCTAGCCAGTGGGGTGTCAATTTTGTTTACAATCAACACATTTTTGACAATGAGAAATAAGTTTGTTTATTCCTGTAGTGTAAAACTCCGTGCTTCAGGATTAGATGAACTCTTAGAAAGCATTTTCTGCATCCTGCTGGTTGTGGAAGTGTTTTCCTTGCAAAAAGCTGTTGAGTTGCTTGAAGAAGCAGTAGTTGGTTGGCAACAGGTCAGGTGAATATGGCAGATGAGGCAAAACTTCGTAGCCCAATTCGTTCAACTTTTGAAGCGTGGTTGTGCAACCTGTGGTCGGGCGTTGTCATGGAGAAGAATTGGGCCCTTTCTGTTGATCAATGCCAGCTGCAGGCATTGCAGTTTTTAGTGTATCTCATTGATTTGCTGAGCATACTTCTCAGATGTAATGGTTTCCCCAGGATTCAGAAAGCTGTAGTGGATCGAACTGGCAGTAGACCACCAAACAGTGACCGGGACCTTCTTTTGGTGCAAGTTTGGCTTTGGGAAGTGCTTTGGAGCTTCTTCTCAGTCCAGTCACTGAGCTGGTCTTCACCGGTTGTTTTTTAAAATCGACTTTTCCTCACATGTCACAATCTGATCTACAAATGGTTCATTGTTGTTGCATACGGTAATAGAAGATGACACTTCGAAATGACGATTATTTTGATTTTTGGTCAGCTCATGAGGCACCCACTTCTGGAGCTTTTTCACCTTTCCAAGTTGCTTCAAATGCCGAACGACCATAGAATGGTCAACATTGGGTTTGTAGGCAACTTCTCCTGTAGTTGTAAGAGGATCAGCTTTGATGATTGCTCTCAATTGGTTGTTGTCAACTTCTGATGGCCAGCCACCGTGCTCCTCATCTTCAAGGCTCTTGGCTCCTTTGCAAAACTTCTTGAACCACCACTGCACTGTACGTTCATTAGTAGTTCCTTGGCCAAATGGACTGTCGATGTTGCAACTTGTCTCCGCTGGTTTGTGAGCCATTTGAACTTGAATAAGAAAATAGCTCAAATTTGCTTTTTGTCTAACATCATTTCCACAGTCTAAAATAAATATAAAATAAACAGCAAGTAATAAGTCATCAGCAAAAAAACATAAAGTGAGAGATGTGCATTAAATTATTTTTAGCATTAAAATGAGATTATAATGAGGGAAAAGTCAGTTTAAAGTCAGTATGGGGGTCCTTTTTGGCTTGAGGTGGTTAGATCTGGATAGGTCAGGTTTCTTTGCAGCCAGGTTCCTTATCAGCTGGTGTCAGCATCTTGTTTCAGTGGTCTTGGAAAACATTACTCAAGAGACAGACAGTTTGGCTCCCTCCTTAACATGGGTAGGGGCTCAATTCTAGCAGATAGGAGGTCATTTGTTTTTTTTCTTCTGTAGTTAATTAGGCTGGGTCATGCTGTCCCATGTCCCCTCCCTTGGTCAGCAGTGAGGCCTGAGTCCTGTCTCTATACTGTCTCACAATGGCTAAAAGAATATAGGAGTTAATTTTTATCTCACATAATGATTTAGAGGTGGGTGCGGATGGCATGACACTGCTCTATGAGGTCATTCAGAGAACAAGTTTTTCTCGATCTTGCAGTTCTACTATTTTGTGCCCCTAGGCTATTGTTCTCATTTGCATGGTCACAGTGGGAACATCTCCATGCTATCATTTTAACCCATAGTTAGGGGAAGAAATGAAGGGCAAGCAATTACCTTTTATGGTGTAGAATTTGCACACAACACTTCTGCTAACATCAGTTTGTGGAAACTTCCTCACATGGCCTCATCCAGCTTCAAGTGAGGCTGAGAAATGTCTATGGCCAGGCTGTTATGTTCTCAGGTATTATTAAAACTCAGAGGTCTCTGGTGCTAAAAAGAAGTATGGAAAATGGATGATTATTAGTCTACACATGGGGCATATTGGAAGGGCTTTTCTTAAACAGGAGGAGAAACACATTTATTGTAACTGTAGGAAGGAAGGAGAAATTTGATGCAGTTGGTTTTGCAGAAAAAAGTTAATAAAATAATAAGAGCAAAATGCATAATATAGCCCCTGTTATACAATAGAAGCTGAATAAAGGATAACTATTGAGAATAATATTATTATTAATAATAGCAATAGTACTAATAATGTGATGATAATTACCATTTAAATAATGTACTTTCTTATTAAATAACTGGTTCTAAAAGTTGAAATCTTTTATAGCAGGTGGATGAATATTAAAATGTCTCTTCAGTAAGATTAAAAATATTTCTCTCATTTATCTACATTTCTGTTGTGAAATTCTCACTTTTCTTGCATCTTCTGTTCTTTCTCCAGCTAGCAAAAGATTATGGCCCTGTGTTCACTGTGTATTTTGGCATGAAGCCCACCGTGGTGTTGCATGGATACAAAGCAGTGAAGGAAGCCGTAATTGATCGGGGAGAAGAATTTTCTGGCAGAGGGAGTATCCCAGCATTTGAAGAAATCTCCCAAAATTCAGGTATGCTTCTCTTTGGGGAATGTGTGTGGGTTTGTAAGTTGCAAAGACTCCAAATAGGCTAAGAAATTGAGAAATTATAAGCACTTGGGGAGATTTATAAGACACACTTTTCATAATTCCAACATAAGACTATGAGTAATTTTTGTATAAAGGAAAGCAAACCATCTAACCACTAATGTTCTATGAATTTGTGACTAAGACACCTTCATTTTAAATTATGGCCAGTTAAGATAACGAGAAAGAGACAAAGAGAAAAGAGAGAGGAGGAATATGACTAAATTATACTATTCACCAAATATTTTGCTTCCTGGTCTGAGTCATGGATATCCAGAGACTATTTTAGGAAGCTTGTATAGTATAGTATGCATGGAACCAACAGAGGTTTGAAATATTTTCAGCCTCACCTTCAGTCTTCTATTCCCAAAAAGCATAGGAAATATTGTAATCCAATAGAATACAATGCATAAAGCAATGATATGCTTTGAAAAGATGATCATGGAGAAACACATGAGTATGGATTGGAATTGATATTAGAAAAAGCATTTTTTTGTTAAGTACTGGAACTATTTCCTACTTGATTTTGGAGCTGGCCTTAAACTGTCCAGTCTTCTGGTGGATCACTGGGTTCTGACAAAAAGAGGAGAAGACCTGAATGAGGTCATCTCCTCTACATTGTTCTCTAAGAGGCTTCCTGGACAAGTTTCCTAGGAGCTTATTTTTCTCCTGATCTGGTCTTGACTCTGGAAGTCTGATGTTGAGCTTCCTTGGTACTAAGACCACACTGCATGGAAAAATTTAACAAATAGAGAGGGATGTTAAAATAAGAAGAGTTATCTGTCAATGACTGAATCCCTTATCCGAGAAATAGGTTGTTATGAAATTTCTTCCAATGCAGATGCTGTCTCATCTTCTCTTGAGAATTGCCTCCTCTTGTTGTTTCTCTAAAAATGCACTTGCATTCAGAAAAGCCAGCCCTGAAAATTTAACCTATGAGTTGGACTCACCATTATTTATTGTTGCATGATCCTGGAGCAAGCATTTTCCCTCCAGGATTTTCCACACCCTTGTCAGTAAAATGGGCACAAAACACTCAGTTTACAGAGTTATTCTGAGGTTTAGAGCAGCTGATGGGTCAAGAAGAGTTTATTAATATGTAAAATCAAGAGCCCTAACATAAAATATTAGGTTGCATTAAGGGCAGAGGCAAGTGAGGTAGGGCTCAATGAGAATTCCTTAAGCTGACACCACTATGTTCACATCCCTGCTCAAGTGTCAGCATCATTTCCTGAGATGAGTACTCTCAGCTAGAATGATAGCAATGGAGGATAGGCTTCTCTCTCTCTCTTTTTGTCCTGATAGGAATTATTTTCAGTAATGGAAAAATATGGAAGCACACCTGGCATTTCTCCCTCACAGTTTTGCAGAATATGGGGATGGGGAAAAAGACTATTGAAGACCGAATTCAAGAGGAAGTCTCATATCTGGTGGAAACGTTAAAAAAAACCAATGGTGTGTATTTCTTTATATAATTAACAATAATAGTTTGAGTAGAATAAATGCTATTACAGATAGACTAAAAAAAGATACGATGACTCAAGTACAACAGATATTTACTTTTTGCTCATATATTAATAATGGTAATAAGAGGCGAGGTGCTCAGCGTAGCAGCCTTTTCAGACACCAGGTTGATAGGGCCATTGATATCTTCAACATCTGGCTTCCAGTGTCACCCAGGGTTAATCTCTTTGTGTGGTAGTGGGAGGAGACAAGAACAAGGAAAAGAGCAAATAGTGTTTGGGCCAGGCAAAGAGGTGGCACACAAAACTTCCCTCGTATGCCATGGCTATAAGTTAGTAACAGGGTCACAGCTAATTGCAAGACGAACTGGAAAATGTGGTTCACTTTGTGCACAGGAAGAAGAGGAGAACATGGATTTTGGTAATCAGCTATGGCAGCATTAACTTGAAAAATTAAGTAACATTTCTAGTAATTACTTGAGAAACAATAGAGGGACTGCCAAATTCTCCCAATGTGCAGGGCTGCAATTCAGCTCCCATGGAGGAGTACGCATATGAAGAGAGGGAGCTAGAGCAGCACAGATCTCTGCAGTGTGTAGATGTGTGTGTGCCCACACAGGATTGGCAGAGGGGATGAGGCAGAAAGGGGTGGGCGGGAGACCAAGCAGGGAGGGGGTAAGAACAGGATCATAAGATATATGTGGCCTTACAACCTCAATATTTGAGTACTCTCAGAGAGCTTATTAATTTAATACTATATTTCCTATGGTGAATTGACATTGTGTTTTTAAATCAACGTTATATTATTGTCTAGATAGGCTGTTTTCTTCTTCTTCTTCTTTTTTTTGTTTTGCAAACAGAGTCTCACTCTGTTGTCCTGGCTAGAGTGCAGCGGCATCATTTTAGCTCACTGCAACCTGAAACTCCTGGGCTCAAGCAATCCTCTTGCCTCAGCCTACTGAGTAGCTGGCACTACAGGCACATGCCACCATGCCCAGCTAACTTTTTTCTATTTTTTGTACAGATGGGGTCTCGGTCCCACTCTTGCTCAAGATGCTCTGAAACTCTTGAGCTCAAGCTATCCTCCCACCTTGGCCTCCCAGAGTGCTAGAATTATAGGCGGGAGCCACCATGCCTGGCCCAGATAAGCTGTTTTCTATTTTATTAATATCTTGCTGCTATTAATATTGCAAATATTTGCATGACCTGGTTTCCTCCTAATTTCTGGAAATGGAGTTAGAGTGTTAGTGAACATTGTTTGGGCTTTGATATATATTACCTAGGAATTGAGGGGATATCTTACAGAAAAGGGATAAGAACATGAGGCATATGCTGTGCATATTGTTCTATAAACTTATTTTTAAGTAAAATATATTGAATGAATATTTTCATGTGTTTAACTTTTAAATGTTTTTCAAAGAACATTATTAACCAAATAGTACAGTAGTAGTCCATTATTTTGGACATACCGTAGTTTATTTAACTAATCCTCTATTTTAGCCAGATAGGTTTTTTCCAGTCCTTGCTGTTATTAATATAAAAAAGTGCAATCCATATGAATTATTGCAAATCTCTGACTACATTCTTAGAGTTTTGGAAATAGAATTACTAAATCAATGAATATTGGGTTTTGATACATATTATCTGGGAAATGATTTTGTGCACTCAATTTATATTTTGAGCAGAACTTATTGGTTCAACTTTTCCCATAGTTGATCTCAGCTTCCTGATCTGTGATCACCCAGACTCTGCTTGATTCCACCTAGTTATGGGAGCCTCACACTCTTGGGGAAGCCCATTTCATCACTGGATAACTCTAACTGTTGGAAGTTGTTTTCACATGTTGAACAGAACTGTTTTTTTTCTTGTAACTTCTCCTTTTTGATCCCAGCTAGCTTTTTCCTTCTGGAGTTATAGTGCTGTGATTGTCACCAGACAGAAACAAGAGTCATCTATTAATACTTTTCATCCAAAATGTCAGATGATTTCAGATGTTGAGATTAATGATGCCACACACAGCCCCCAATAAGATAGGAAAGTTTTATGATTTACATTATTCCACTTTCAGTGAAGAGCAAAGTGACTCCCAAGCATGTCTAAAAATGGCCTGAGAGAGCAGGGAAAGGACACTGGCATGAGGTTTTTATGGTGGTTAGTCGCGGGGCTGGGACGAGGATTCCTGTGTGCAGGCCAGGGTTTGTGTGGCTCCAACTTCCTGCTTGTGCCAAAGGAGGGAGCCCTTGGGCTTCTTTATCAGCATGTCTAGATGTGGGTAGAAGGGAAGAGGTGGGGGTGAGGATTCAACACTTCCAGCAGTCAAACATCAAAAAATAGAGTCATACTCTTTTTTATATTAATGTAGGAAGCCTGTTTCCAAAGCTATAGGATATTTTTTCAATTATCTGAACATAACTCCAATTTCTTTCATTATTCTTCTCTTCTATAAGCACACCCAAGTTTTTCAACTATGTTTCATAAATTACAATTTCAAGTTTCCTCAGTCCCTTGATTTTCTTGTGGGGTTGCTCAGCTTTCTGTGGGCATCATGAGGAAGTATCTTCACTAAGAGCTAAATTCCACACATTTGAAGATACACACACACACACACACACACACACACGCACACACACACACACACGTTTATGTATTTTTAAAGACAGGGCCTCACTGAGTTGCCCGGACTCGTCTCGAACTTCTGGGCTTAAGCGAACCTCTTGTCTCAGCTTCCTGGGTAGCTGGGACCACCATACCTGGCACTACAGATATTTTCAAGTGACCTCTTTTTATTTGTATTATTTCTGGTGAATTAAAAAAAAATTTGGAAAACGATGCAAATAGACTATTTGCGGGAAAATTAACGACTGGACTGGATTAGACAGTTTTGTTTGGGAAACACAATAAATTGTATTTTAGGCATGTGGACTTTATAGTAGTGACAAGTCCAGATCGTTCTTATTCTTAAAAAAATCTTTGAAGTCAACCTTTTTCAATGATCTGAAACAGTCGATTTAAGATTTATATGAAAATTGTGTACTAACTTCTCATTTCTATTGTTTTTAGCATCTCCCTGTGATCCCACTTTCCTTCTGGCCTGTGTTCCCTGCAATGTGATCTGCTCTGTCATTTTCCAGAGTCGTTTTGACTACAATGATCCGAAATTTCAAACCTTGCTTAAGTATTTTCATGAAAACCTTAGGATTGTAAGCACCCCTTGGATGCAGGTAAGGTCAAGGTTCTATTTAAATGGGTAATAATTTTCTAGCTAATATATTGCTCATGCCTGCCTCATTCCTCTGCCCTATTTAAAAGTGGCCAAAGTAGTATTTATCAAACTATCATTTGTAAACCATTAGTGAGTTACCAAATCAATTTAATGTGTTGAAATATAATATAAAACATGAAATAACATCGGATAGAAAGAAAAATATAACTTAGATTGTTTAATTTATAGCCTAGTATTTTTTTGAGAAAATTTGTTTTCTGCTTTTTATATCTATAGGTATAGAGGACAGTAACATAAATGTGTTTCTTACTATGGCACACTGTCAGAAAGTGTTAGTAATCTATGGTGTACAATCATTAACAACTAAAATTCTGTATAGATCATAAGATCATGAGGTGTCCCCCTGAGAAGGACCTCAGAGAACAAAAAGTTCGACCTCTCATTTTTAGAACAGAAAACTGCGACCCAGAGCTGTTAATCATAATCTCCAAAGTAATCTAACCAAGACAATGTGTGAGCTAGGCCTAGAATCTAGATTCTCTGATTCTGTAACTAGTTTGATTCAAGGTACTAGCCTGAATAAATTGCTTTGGTGCCTACCAAGGGTATTAAGTCATTAGGTACTGTCTAAAGCAGAGTCAGTGATATCTAGGAGCAGCAAAGGTCAGATGGGTAAGGTAAGTATGCACATCTCTGAAGTAGAACATGCATAAATTAGCAAAAAAATGCTAAGTGATTCAGGCAGGTCATTAATCTTTCTGATGTACTGTTTCTTCATTACAACAAAAGAGTATGAGCCTCCATGTGTTTTTACACAAATCCCTTGAGAAATATGTGTAGGGTAAACTGTTAGGAACACTGGGTTCTAGCTCTGATATGACTGGTTTGGTGTCTTAGAATTATTGACTAACCTGTCTGGACCTCAGCGTTCTCATTTGGAGAGAGGTGACAACGGTAGTAAGTTCCCGACTTCCTTCAGAGAGTTGTGGTTAGGAAATGAATGGGAATGGCTTTGAAGTTGCTTTGTGACCTGTGCCTACTGTAACTCTAGCTATTCTCCTGCAAATCAGTGCTCTCTCCTTCAAATTCCAAGTGTGTGCTAGTGCAGGAAACATGTCTCATTCATCTTTACCTACTCAGTATATAGCAAAGCGTCTGACACATAATAAAGGCCTGTAAATGTTGCCGGAGTGAATTAATGAAGGATTCTTTTTTCTTTCAGCTCTACAATGCTTTTCCTCTTTTACATTATCTCCCAGGACGTCACAAGGAGTTATTTAAAAATGTTGCTTGCCAAAAAGAGTTTATTTTGGAGGAAGTAAAACAGCATCAAGAATCTCTGGACATGAATAACCCTCAGGACTTTATTGATTACTTCCTGATTAAAATGGAAAAGGTATAAAGTACCCCTGATTTGCTATTTCATCTTTGTGGGTGATATGATTCATAGATTTGCTTTGTTTTTCCTGGTGAAACTGGGATTTTTCATCAGGAAATGCTCTTTGCTACAGAGGTAGTCATTGCTTGTGCAAACCATATTGAGTGTTTCAGAATATGTCTAAATTCTCACTGAAAAAGACTTAGAATGTTTTATATTTACCATGTTAAAGCTGGTTGTTTATTTGGGGGCAGATCAACACACATACACACCCACACATACATTCAAGATTGATGATAACATATCATGGTACATAAAATAAGTTCTGTGAATGGAAGATGTAACAAAGTAACACAGGAATGGATAGGAATACAGAAAGGCTTACTTTTAGAAAAAATCCAGATGAGGTAGGTTTTGAGGAAACTCTGACTTAGATTAACAAGGAAGGCAAAATAGGTCTAGGAAATGATAAGTGTAGTAATCAAGTAAGTGGAATTTTCAGCGAGGTTATCTTAATTGCAATTGAGAAAGAGTGGTAGGTGTAATGAGTCATAGGGTTGGGAATAGTGATGTAGTTTGGGAGTAGGCAGTTCTGGAGGCTTGAATGAGAAATTTAGACACGATGAAATAGACAATAGATGCTAGAATTGACAGTGATTAGCAGTGATGGCTTAATAAAAATTACGTTTGAAAGAAATTATAAGGGAACTAATTGACTCTAGTGGGTGAGAAAGTGAAGAATCAGAAAGGACTTGGAAGTTTTTAACTGTGATTATATTTTAACAGTTTGAAGAAATCCTAACGATTCCTCTAACTTTACCTTCAGCTATAGTACACCTTAATGTCTGGCTTAATTTGCCAGATACTGATGTTGTATTTAGTAATTTTCTAAAAAGCGTTTTATTTATCAAGAAATTCTAACATATCGTTGCTAGGAAAAACACAATAAGCAGTCTGAATTTACCATGGACAACTTGGTCATTACCATATGGGATATGTTTAGTGCTGGAACAGAGACTACGAGCACCACAATGAGATATGGACTCTTGCTCCTGCTGAAGCACCCTGAGGTCTCAGGTATGATCATAGATGATGGTAAGGATAAAATTCCACGTAGACAGTGGCAGACAATACTGATAACCATCCCACCCTTTACCTGCCTGGACAATTACAGGAAAATTTCTCATCATTAGTACCTTTACCTACCATTGGATGGATTCAATTCAAATTAGATCATAGTATAAAAAGAGAACAAAATAATTAAACAGAGATTTGAAGGGCAGAGGTCATTATTCTCTCTGCTCTGGTGCAGTATCTTTGATTTGGGTTGGGAAAAATGCAGTAATAGGGTTGTCTTAGCATCTGGGTAGAACTAGCTTCTCTCATTCTCCAAAAAGATCCCACTCGATATGCTTTCCATGCCCGGATAAATATATTTTTGTTAAAAGATACTTCTATCCAAATGAATTTGCAACGTAGGGATTCACTCAAGTTGCAATCTTTCTCCATCAAAAAGATTCACTCTCCAGTAAAAGAGTTGTACCCAAATAAAAAAATTCTTTTTAATATACCCTTTTGGATAAACAACCTTTTCCTCACAAACATAACTTCTCTTTCAAATGCAACTTCTCTATTTTTTCCTACCTCTTTTTAATTGTATCATCATCAGAGAGGATGTTTCCTTCACTACTACTTCATGTTTTGTGATTTGGTGCATTTTTAGTATAATTAAAGCTCATGAAGCTTATTTCCATGACATTAGCACCAAATTTTTCCACTTTGTTTAAGGTCCTTCTGCCCTCCCATTATAAACAGCAGATACTTTCTGAATAGTGCAATTTAGAAGCATAGCCTAAAAATCCCTTTACTAGTACACATTGTGAGATAGGGTGCTTCCGTGTTTCTTTCACATGACACAGACTCCCTCAGCCAAATAACTTCTCTAACTCTTATAGGACCTAAGTTGATTATGACTAGAAGTAGTATATGACATTTTTTTCCAAACCTTTAAATCTTGTGCACATTGTAAAAGCCCTTTGTGTGTCATATTTCCCTGTCATTTCCATTTGGAGTTTTTTCTTAAGTCATGTCCATATCCATTTCCTTTTTCTTTCTTTCCATTTTCATTCCTCACTGTGCTGTTCCACTGAGCATTCTGATTTGAGAAGTAGTTCCTGACTACTTTCTTTCACTATTCTCTTCTAGATGAAACTCCAGCCTCTCAATCTGAGAAGGTGAAATTTAAAACTTGCCTGAAATTCCTAACTTTTTCTTCTTTATAGCTATCAATCCACAGAATTTTCACATGCTCCATTACAAAGACACACTCTTTAGGTAAATAGATAAATACCATTTGACCAAATTAGCAGCATGGCTAATTGCTACTTTGAAAAATGGTTTATAGACTCTAACAGCAGTGGCTTCGAATTCTGACTCTAGTAGGTAGCTGTGTGACCTCAGACTCAGGATTACCTCTCCATACCTCTAGTCCCTTATCTATTTAAGGGGGATAATATGGGAAAGAACATAAAGTCCCTTGGTATCCTTAGGAAACATATTTACTTCTCTGGACCTGTTTCTTTGTAAAATACAAAAAATAATGCCTAACACATAGAACTATTTTGAGGAATTATAAAGTAATATAATGAATACTGCGGGATGTCTGTCATATATTGCGTTCTAAATAAATGTTAACTTACTTTTAGTTTCTCTCTGCTGAACCAACTAAGTGTTCTACTTATTAAGCGTTTACTGCACTGGGTAGTTCTTTTTTTCTGATAATTTTTATTTCAAAATATTGGGGGGTACAAGTGTTCTTGTTACGTGGATGAATTATTATACAATGCTAAAATCAGGGCATTTAGTGTGCCTGTCATCACAATAGTGTACATTGTACCTGATAGGTAAGTTTTCATTGTTTTCCCTCCTCCCATCTTCCCTGCTTCTTAGTTTCCAGTGTCCTTTACACGACTTTATGACCATGTGTATGCACTGGGTAACTCTTACCCTCCTGAAACTGACACGTTAAAGATAAAAATTGGCCTACACAAAGTGGTTAAACAACAAGGTCATTAGTGAGTCTTCAAGATCCTAGGTCCCAGAGTCTATCAAGCAAAAGTACACAAAATAGAAAATCAGAGTGGAGAAATGAGTCTCATGGTTCAATTGTGTCTTATATAATATATGCATATATTTAAGTCTCTAATGAGTTTTCAATTTGCCCAGGGAACTGAAATTCTGTTTCTTTCTTTTTGCATTATGGAGGTAGTGTCAAAAAATTCCCCCATCTCCCCATTTCCAACCACAATGTGACAGTGATTAAGGGGTCAAATAAAAGATACTTCAACTCTATTCTATTTAACATAAATTCTCATTCCCGCCTGGCCAGCTAAAATCCAGCAAGAGATTGACCGTGTGATTGGCAGACAGCGGAGCCCCTGCATGCAGGACAGGAGCCGCATGCCCTACACGGATGCCGTGGTGCATGAAATCCAGAGATACATTGACCTGGTCCCCACCAACCTGCCCCATGCGGTGACTGAGGACATTCAGTTTAGAGAATACTTTATTCCAAAGGTGAGAATATTTTATCTTTACTCCTCCTTAGGAATCTAAGGCCATCATTATTACAGTAGTAGAACTCTAGATTGCCTAACCTTCTACAGAAATGGCACAATCATAACTTGGGCCCCTCACCCTCTAACTGCATTCTTCTTTCCTTCTAGTTTGTTAATACAATTTTCTAACTATAGTAGTGCTTAGACTTTCACAGGATTTTTAGTACATTGATAGTGCCACACTTTGCCTGTCCGTTAGCCCAATCTGCTGTCCACGTCCCTGCTTTCCAATGTATGTTTTATTACTCTTACCAATGAATCAACATCCTATACCCCCACCTCTCTCCATACTGTTTCACTGACTTGTAAAAAGTCCAATACAAAAAGTCTCCTGGCCAGGCGTGGTG